AGAGGAGCGTAATCGTGCAAGTACTTCCACTTATATTTAAATTATTTTCATAATCCAAACAAAAAATACGTAATTCGAATGCAAATGTGTACTACGCAAAACTTAACCATACTTTGATTTAAATTCGCGCGTTCTTTCGTAAAACGTGATCCTACGAATCACGATCTCGAAATTATGATTGCGAAGTAGCCGAAAGAAAACACCTACTATGTCCAAACAAGCGTTGTAAGCATCTCTTATTTCCAGGAATTTTGTTTTAATTTTCATTTACATAATATATTGCGGAATAATTTTTTGTCATTGTCAATCAATTAATTGTGTGTTTATTCAAACCCATTATGCGACACGGATAGAGTGTTCATGTCAGATTTTAATTTCTTTTCGTATCCAAGATTTAGCTCAGGTGCTAATCAGCTATGGAAATTTTCGGAAGTTGATACTTCAACCGTTTATGAATAATGTAAATATGTGTATGTCTTCCGTGATCGATTTCAATACACGGTTTGAGTGAATTATCTTACACTGTTTACGAATTATAAGCATTCGAAGGTATTGCGGACGTCAACACGGAAATACACCCACTCATTTAAATGTTCATTACTCATAAACGATTCAAGATAGGCATATGTCGCCATAGGATATTTAGTCCTCTACAATGTTTTCCTCTATTCCGGTTTGCTATGCGTTTTCAAAGAAATGATCGAGCGCGATCACGTTTTTTATAAGAAAACGCCACTAGTGGAAGTGGCAAGTTACATTTCATCGAGACCGACCACGACTTTGCTTCACAATTTATCGAGTACCTACTTCCTACACCCCTCTTTATTTTATACCGTGGGTTATAAATATTTTCTCCGAATGTGAGAGGGGTGTGTTGTAATAAGGGTATGAAAGCTAGCATTGCGTACTAACATGAAGGCCACGGTATCTCAGAAACTATCGGCTACTGTAAGCTTAAGGCACTACAACACGCAGTCCCTTCGTTGGTAGTTCAAATAAGGGTAGAACGGTAACACTAACACGAATAGAAGTTTTAATTTCTCTGTAATTAGTGTTTTCTTGATATAAGCTAGCCATAAGGCACTGCAAACATTAATGGGACTGCACAACAAAAAGTAAGTTACAAAGTGTACTATTTTAAGGATTCCCATTGGTCCTGGCGTTCATGATCAATGATCTGACTGACATAATAGTGTGGGAAAATCTCAGCCAGAACCCAGAATAGTATATTAAAGCATAAGTTGCAGAAGGCACTATATTCTAGCACGAGTTCAAGTTTCGAACCTGAGCCGCGTAGCGGCGAAGGTTCGAACGAACGAGTGCTAGAAAGGCCTTCTGCAACATATGCTATATACTATTTTCTCTGTTGAGCATTTGAATTGTATTAAAAAAATTAACAATTCTGACATTTTCTGTAATAAATATTTCAATAAAGAAATTAAGTTGGCAACACCAAAAATTTTTCAATAAAGAAATTAAGTTGGCTACGTTACATTTTGAAAAAATTCAATTTAACAAGCGCGTCAAATACGAATTTGTGCAGTATATTTTAGTTTTTTCAATAAATAGTGAATAATGTGCGAAGAAATTCTTCCTTCCACTCCTCCAGAGCTTCGACAGTTAGCAGAAGAGACTGTTCATAATTTGCTACCAGGCAATAATTCCACAATTATTCTAAAAGTTTATAATAATTGTACATTTAGTGGCAAAGATTAGTTTTGTAATTTTGTTAGGTTGTAAAACCTCATTTGTATTAAATGTGGATTTCTCTAAGTACCTACACTGAATTTTCAATACCTAATGATTTCAATTACCCGTATCGTTGATAACTGTAACATAATGTTATAACAATAAGTGAAATTAGTCCACATTTTACTAAACCGTTGAGATAAGTATTAACGTCTAAATCATCCAGGCAGAACTTTGAATTGAACATTCGCGTATATGATTAGCCTGGATGATTTAGACGAGCATGCCAACCACTGAATACCAAATGTTCTGAAAAATCTGTCAGTTGTGGAAAATAGTTACCAAAAATAGTGTTGGAATGAAACTCATTCCAGCACTATTTTTGATATCGGAATACTGTCATTATAAACGCAAAACAGAGAAAAGCCATTCTCATGTATCATTTGTTCATAACTCTAAAATCACAATTGCATTGCACTCTCACCGAAGGCAAGACGTCTTTGGTTTTATAATTAATATAGCATCAATAACCTTGACAGGTAAATACATCAGATTAATAGTACGGGTGTGCACTGATTTTACGAGCTATCATAATCGTAAAAAAACGAATTAATAGCGGTCGCCAACGTAAATCATCAAATGCAAATAAAAATCATTTAATTACTATCTTATTCATAATATGTATTTAAATGCATTGTACACCCGGAAAACACTGGGATACCCAAATTATTTCATTTTTAGCTTCCTTTTTTTGTGTTTTTAAAAATATTTAGTTTGATCTAGGCAGCAGTTCTGTCAAAAAATTGGCCCCTGGTTTTAGATCTGGCGTAACCTCTCTAGCTGACCCTCAAAAAAATAACGTTACACTCGAAAGTCGAATCTTGATAATCTCGCTAGTAGGGAAGGTCAGTAATTTCTTCCTACATCATTTGCACATTACCAGAAGCGAAATAAAGACAAATTACTACCTACTTTGTGGAACGAAAATTTATTGCAATAGGATATTAGCATGGATAATATGCGTAACTTCTCATGTACAGCTTATGGAGGTCGAACCATAACCTTAGGACATCCCAGGGTTCTATGAAGAGTATCGTTTTACTGAACTTGACGTGGTATTAATATTCATTAAAATCGTATCACGTTCATTGCATTTTCAACAGGTAAGTATAACGTGTTGAGATTACTTAATCAATTGTTTTCTTAATCAATACAATTGCTTGAAGGATAATTATTCAACCACATTAGATCGTTTATCTTGCTGGAGTTATAGTAGTATACACGTGTGGCGTGGCAGTAGAATGGGTTGCCTATATCCGTATAAAAATTAACCCGAAAAATAAAGGACTGGATATTGTATTTCGAATGTTGACAAACGCATTTGCCTAAACAAGAAAAGTAAGATTTGCGTACAATTTGTTCTTCCCAAAACTACTTTTCACTGAAAAGTGATCTGAAGTTTTGGCAACCTTATTAAAGTATGTATCAGCAAATTCCGGATCCTACCAGCTTACAGGAAAATGAACAAATATTACTCGTTTTACGGAGAGGAGTGTTGAACATCAGAAGTACAATAACATTAATCAAGTTTACCTACAAAATTAATCATCTTATATTTTTTGCTGAAGAATATTATATACTGAAAATAGGATCTATTTTCTTCAACCATAGGAATTATTATTTAAAATTATTAAATTCGTGAATCCATGCACATAATTGTTCACCATATCAGGGGAATAAGTGTAGAGGCACGAGTCTACCTCAATGGGACATTGGAAAAATCCAAGAAATCTGCGGTTTTGGTGGTTACAATAATTGAATCTAGCTATTGTTATTATCTTTGTTACGAAAATTTGAAATCAAACAGGACGCTTTTAATTAAATTTCGTAAAAGCTCAACTACAACGTAAGCTTCCCAGCCCAAGTTTTATGGTCTCCACACATTAGCAGAAGTCGAACTGTGGGGTTGTGGGTAGGTGCGTAAAAGCTACATAATTTTTTTTATTTGCCTCCTAGTACTAAACGACCGTATTGACATTTGCAACTAATGTTTTTACAAATGTATACCGCCCTTGCACTTTTCCTAATCGTATTTCTTTTCCTCTACCATGCGATTGGTGGAAATCTTTGGTTTTTTTTGTTATCAGTTACTTAATGGGTCGATATTTTCTCCACTACCATTTTATGTTTTCGGCGGTTTGTATAGCACAGGAATATGCTCAAATCCTGATATTCGAGAAGAAAACATGAAAAGTGGTATACATTCTGTATAGAACAAATCCCCGCAAATCCTGATAGAGCATATCCAAGATGCTAATAACTGTTACCATTGTCATTGTAACACTCAACATGCGACCACTGAGACCTGCCTGCGGGACATATTCGACTGTGATTTTCAATTCTTTTCCTCCGGTCATCATTTTTGTCTCCCTCATAATCGACTTTAAAGTCTTGAATAGCGTCACATCCTGTGTGACACATCAAATAAAAGCTCATAAAAATTCCTCTTCATCTGTGTAAATAAATTGACATTGAAATGAAATACACATTTGGATTTACTGTTTCAAAGATATGATTACACAATTATTGTATTGACTGCAAACTGCTAAGTTATCCTACACAATTACCATTGAAAATATTTCAAGAATGTAGGTACCTACGCAAAAATTATTAATATGGTCAATCCCACTTTTGTTGCATTGTACAGTAAGGACGAAATAGAGCGTGTTGGATATTTAGAGGGGTAGTCAGTCAATGGTGAATCGCGACCGAGGAAGGTACTCAAGATTTATGTCTATGATTTTCGTAAAAAGATATGTGCATTTGTATTATCGAGTGGATAGAGGGGGCTTACCTTACAAATGGTACGGTAGTTTTTGGCGCATTTTTAAGAATAAAAAAAAATGTTTGCGTTTTGTTCGTCCGCCGGTCGGTCTGTCTGTCCGTCCGTCCGGACCCACTTCTGCGCTTTTGAACTACTTGTAGGTCCTAGAGTTTCTAATTAAAGGTCTCAACAAAAGGAACTGTTTTCTGCAAAGTACCGCCCTTCTTCCTCACACCTTATCAAAAGAGTTTTATCCTTCATGGTTCTCTAATGAAAGGTCTCAACGAAAGGAATTAGTTTATATCAACCATTGTCCTCCTCCTTGGCCCCTTGTATCTCAAGAACAGCTTGTTGGAGGAGGGCGATTGGGACGTCTGGAAGAAATATCTGTTGGTACCCACAAAGGCAAAATTAATTGTCTGGGCGAAACAGCTATAGGTGAAGTCAACTTCGAAGCGAATATCTTGGAAACGAAGGGGTACTCATAAAGAGAAAGAGGAACATAAGGAGGAGGCGTATCTATTGGCGATGTTAAAACTTTCAGTGCAGTGCAAATATCCGCATTGAATGAAACGAATGATAGGTAAAATTACAGTTCTGATTCATACGCAATAAGAACATCGGCCATTTCAATGGATCTTTTAATTCATTTTAAAAGTCGTAACTCTGCGTCATATAAAGTACCTCACGAACAAACATGCGAATGGAAATGAAATGACGCATAAGAAATTTGCAGTATTTTCATAGAACATGCGTCTCAAATAGTTTATTCGAATACAAAGAATTATATTCGAAACATTTTGCGGGGGCGGGCGTAACGAAGCTTTTCCGGTCCTCGGTTTATTTGTTTTGGTCATCTATATCGCTTAATCTTTTCCTTGTCGAATGTAGATAATAGTGCAGACAAGGTTAGTATAGAAATGGATCTTGGTGGTCGGTGCACAAATAGTGTCTTGTTCTATCCGCAATCTGCATATAATAAGCAAATGGTCTTACTAGAGATTCTATTCTGAAACAAGACTCATTTGGTCCAAAGTATAATTAGAAATTCAGAAGTGATTTTCAGGACACATGCTAAGAGCGTTTTTTCAACATTTATTTCGGATGCACTCAATGAGTCGTTACTATTTATGAACAGACACATTAAAAGGCAATCTAATCAGTAATGCAACAAATGTAAAACGAATAATTAGTGACGCGACGGCGACTGTATAAAAAGTATTTGTTTATTTAAAAGTATAAAAGGTTCATCGAATAAGATTAACATGTATCCATTGCGTTGTGCAAATGAAATAAAATCATACGTTACCAGTTAATTACTTCCCCAATTTTTAAGCAGTTCCGTACCTGAAAATAAAGAAAAACAGTTAATACTTTGTAATTGATAACGTTAAACATGCTTTCTCACCAGGTGAACCCCGATTCAGATACTAATTTTAATGTTGCAGAATTAATAACCGATGAAGAATTCGAGATTACTTGTTAGTCAATGTCAACAGTCAGCTTATAGACACATTCGCAACCCGTCTAATTGAATCAAACCGTTAAGTTATTTACGACGATAATTATTAACTATTAATAAATTAGAAAGGTTTATATATAACATAATAAAAAAAAAAAAATAAATCCAAACAGAAATGACACAGCATAAATGTTAAATTAAACAATTATCATATACTAACTAATGGCCTTCTACAATGTGCAAGAAGAATTTTTTTCCACCTATTGTATAAAAATCTATGGACATTTTTCGTTATTCAATTCATTAAATCAGTAAGTAAAAAACAGTATAACAACAAAAGATGTAGTGCTAAACATCTTTTGTAATGTCTCGAGTCTTACATGCAATGCACTGTTTAAACAATTACAATTGTAAGGTTTAATTATGGTAATAATGTATTACGCATTATAGAGACCGTTATAACGTATCTAGGGCATTGAAAATGTCATGCCATGTTATGTAGAGAAGATGTTACCTTCCCCACTTTTCCACACAAGTTTCATTGCTAATCTACTGAAACAAATAATTAACCAATTCAAAATTTCCTTTGTCCTAGCCCCTGTTGGTTTATTAGAAGACTTTCTTCTTCATTTTGCATCAATTGTAAATTGAGGTCTTTCATTAAAACGAAATCCATAAAAAAGTAAACTATTTTAACAAAAAATGTGTTCTCAAAAATATTTTAAAAATGTCTGTCTAGAAATTGTTTGATAATCTTTTTTTAGTTTGCAGTATTGTTGTATTCTTGTATTTTCAAGCTCTCAAGCTTACTTTCTAATATGGGGCCGGTCGGTGGCTTTGTATCGATGACTGCTCGATTGGGATAATCTTTTGGAAGTAAATATCATACATTCTGGGGGGCAATTTTGAGCGCTGGCAAATGGTAAACGTATACGGAACAATACGAATAGTAGTTTGTTTGTTTGTTTTCGCTCTTAAAATGTCCTTCGCTTTTTTGCGAGCGGTAGATAGCTGGCGTAATTTGATATTCGAATGCGTTTTGATTTGAATATAAAGTATAGTGACCAGGTGATAGTCAATTTAAAAAAATTTATCGAAAATAGAAGAATTGATAAACGTTTTGGCCATTCAAGATTTTAAATTTTTTACGCAATTTGGTTTTCCGGGAACTATAGGGTGCATAGACTGCACACATGTGGCCATTTTTCCTCCGAAAATTAAGGACCCGGAGCATCCTGAATATTTATATATAAACCGAAATGGTTACCATTCAATTAATGTGCAGTCGGTAAGTTTAAAGAATGGAAGATGAATGGATAACGTTACAAAAATGTTGTTAGATATGTGACAGCAGCCTCAACATTCTAAATGTGAACGCAAGGTATCCGGGAAGTAGGTACTAACGATGCATATAGGTATATGGAATCAATCAAATGTCGATGGTCTTATGCAGCAATTATACATCGATTAATATTGGGTGTGTGACACATTTATTAATAAATGTAGTTCCTTACACTTTGGGGAAATACTTATTCTTTACATAATGTGGAACCAAACACTCCAGAAAGCCATTACAATAATCTCCACAAAACAACAAGGGCGATTTCGTTGCTTATTAAAGCATCGACTTCTTCATTATAATCCAGTCGCCGCGCCGCTTCGCTCTAGCTAGTGAGCGGTACCCTTTATTTTTCACATATTCTATCACTATGAAAGTGTTTCTTTTTTAAATTTTTTCTCTAATTATAAGATATCTTATAATGTTAAGATAATCAGATAATCTTATAATCAGAGAAAAAATTTAAAAACGGAACACCGATAAGTCATTAGTAGTACCTATCATCAGTCTGTAAAAAAAATCAGCTTCATTCATCCAACCGTAACCTAGTTATATCCGTAGAAAGTTCGTAAAAAACCGACTAAGAATTGTTTTTTTACGGAGCTATCAAATGTGCGCGATTTTTTTCACTATTTTTTTAAGAGCTATTATCAACGTTTTCATTTGGTGTATAACTTATTTTCTCGAAAAACAACCTTTCAGAATTGGTACCGCAAGAAGTACCCGCAGCGCCTTAAGTCGTATGACCTGAGGCGGCAGACGATCGATTTTAGCATACTCTGATAGCGCAAAATGGAACTCCATCGGTTAAAATTTTGATCATTCTCGTTCAGTGGATTTCGTGCTAGCTCCCCTACTATGGCTACCCCAGAAATGAAGGAAAGTTTGTACTAGATACCGATGCCAGTAACAGCGCCATTGGAGCTGTTCTCTCTCAATTGCAAGACGGACAGGAAAGAGTCATTGCCTATTTCAGCAAAGTACTGTCGAAACCCGAGAGGAATTATTGTGTGACTAGGCGAGAGCTCCTGGGTGTGGTAAAGGCATGCGAACATTTCCATAAGTACCTTTACGGCCGCAAGTTCCTGATAAGGACAGATCATGCAGCGCTAAAGTGGCTCTTGCAGTTCCGAAACCCAGAAGGACAGGTGGCAAGATGGTTAGAACGTCTTCAGGAATATGACTACGACATTGAACACAGGGCTGGAAAAGTTCACAATAATGCAGACGCTTTGTCAAGAAGACCGTGCAAAGACAACTGCACACATTGTTCTAAAATAGAAGACAAGATTGGCCATCTGCGACGAACAATTGTAGAGAGTGAGGAATGGAAGCCAAGCGAAATCAAAACGGCCCAAGAAAACGACCCAAGTATAAAAACTGTTCTGAATTGGATACGCCACGGACAAAGACCAGACTGGCAAGACATTAGTGCCACAAGTCCTGAAGTAAAGAGTTATTGGGGCCAATGGAATAGCCTGACTCTGAAAAACAACCTGTTGTATAGGACCCTTGAAAGTGAAGATGGCACCGAATCGACGCTGCAATTAGTAGTACCTAGAAGCAAAGTGTCGGAAGTATTGCGAAAATTGCATGACGGCGCTTCCGGAGAACACTTTGGTATTACGAAAACGTTGCAAAGGGTACGTGAGCGATTCTATTGGGTCAACCGTAAAGAAGATGTCCGGCGATGGTGTCAAAAATGTGAGTTATGTGCTACTGGAAACGGAACAGTTTCCAAGAAGAAGGCACCCATGAGGCAGTATAACGTTGGTAGTCCGATGGAACGAGTTGCTATCGATATCGCAGGACCGTTTCCCGAGACAGATGGCGGAAAAAAATATATCCTAGTCGCTATGGATTATTTCACAAAGTGGACTGAAGCTTACGCCATTCCAAACCAAGAGGCAGCAACAGTTGCAGAAGTGTTGGTAAAGGAGTTCTTTACACGTTTTGGTGTTCCTATAGAAATCCATTCAGACCAAGGAAGGAACTTTGAATCGGCTTTGTTCCAAGATGTTTGTCGATTGGTAGGAGCCAATAAAACCAGAACAACACCTTTGCATCCTCAGTCAGATGGAATGGTGGAGAGAATGAATCGAACGATGGGTAAATATCTTTCAAAAGTCGTGGCAGAACATCAGAAAAATTGGGACCAGTACCTCCACCTGTTCCTTATGGCATATCGATCAGCCGTCAACGAGACCACGGGTCAGACTCCTGCCTGCCTTATGTTGGGTCGTGAACTACGCCTTCCATGTGACCTCGAGTTTGGGCGTAAACCCCATGAAGAATATGTCGCAGGTGAAAATTATGTTGACCAACTAAAGGCGAAGATGAACGATATTCACGACTTGGCTAGAAGTCATATTCAGATTGCCAGCGATCGCATGAAAAATCAATACAACCTCCGCTCGGTCAATGAAACTTTTGAAGCTGGAGATCTGGTATGGCTGCACAATCCACAGAGACGAAGGGGTCTTTCTCCCAAGCTACAAAGACAATGGGAAGGTCCGTATGAGGTGATCAAGAAAATAAATGACGTGATATATCGTATCAGAATGAACCACCGGAAACCGAAAGTTGTCCACATTAATCGACTCGCACGATATGCCGGATCCAACAACAACGAAGAAGTTAGAGGTATTCGAGAAGAGGAACGCAGCTTTGGGATCGAGCCAAACTTTAACGATTTTATGTCAAATTACGCCCAGCGGAAGAAAGCTCGATTTGGCGTTACTCAGGAAATTTGTCAAAATATTTTTGAGCTTCCGGTTAACGTTTCCATCGCCCATTGTGTCGCCGAAGACCTTCGCATGGGTAGAGGTATAGCTTCCGTATTCCGGAAAAGATTTGGAAGAATAGACGAGTTGATAAAGCAAAGACCACGAGTGGGTAAAGTACTGCGCTTGGAAGATAGTCAACGCTCTTTGTTCTACTTGGTTTCAAAGAAAACGTCAGAAGGCAAACCCACCTATGAAAACCTCTGGTCTGCTTTAAAAAAACTTAAAGAAACTCATGGCATACTATGACATAAATAGCTTGGCGATCCCGAAGATTGGATGTGGTTTAGATGGGTTGGACTGGAAGATAGTGCGAACCATGATCGAAGTGATTTTTAGAAACACTAGCGTTCGAATTACAGTATGCTGCTTCAACCCACAGGGGACGACCCTCCGCAAAACTGTGGACTGTTACTTTTTCAAGAAAGGTGTTTGTCGAGCAGGCTCTGACTGCAGATTCCGACACGAGGCATTAAAAAGTAATACTAACGCAGTTTCTGAACGAGACGTCCAGAATTAAGAAGGGGGCAGTGTAACGGAAATGCTCCAGACGTGACGTCGCCTTTAGCGCTCTGGAATTTTCTACGCGTATTCTAGAATATTCGGGACTTACATTGCTTGCGTGTATAAATGGTTGCGGCCGAACATCGCGGCAGTCTACTATCGAACGAGATCGAGCACGGAAATATAAATTGCGAAGTGTGTGTGATATAATAATCGATATAAATTGTACGGTTTTTATAGTGTTTTAGTTTTGTTTAAT